ACATTTACCCTGCCCCAGCCTGCTGGGCCACTGCTCAGGAGAGAAACGCTGAAAGACTATAAAGGAAAAAACCCAAGATTATACCTTCTGTTAAAAACACATACCAAAAAATAAAATAAAATGGGCAGTGCACATGCCCTATGGCATGGTATCTTTTCACAGAGAACACAGATCTGTCACAAAATTAGGGAAAAGGCAATTTTCTATAATGTAAATGTTTTTCTAACAGAAGTGATTATAGGAAGGGAGATAAATTATTATACTTATTACTGTGACAAAAAACTTTGAGGAAAAAAACATGTGGGTTTTTGTTGTTGTTGTTTTGCGGGGAAGCGTGGACTGGTCGGGGAAGGGAAGAGGCAGAGAACAAGCATGGAACTGTTACATCTCCAAGGCTCTCTCACACGGTTTCTCACATGGTTTTATAGCCAAACACACACACTCCTGTTCCCTTCCCTCTTTACTTCTGGCCCAAGTTCTTCATGGTATTAACCTTAGAAAAAGGCTCTCTCTGCCTCAGAGTTACTCACTAAAATCACCTTACAAAATAGGGCATAAATTAGACCTCCATAAGAGACGCCACCGCAAAATGACTGACAACACCAGCATGCTTCCACAGTCCGCACAGCGTATCAGTGCTCCAAGACAGAAACCAGGGCTGTGTGGAGCACTGAGCTCAGTCGCTCCAGAGTTACATAGCAACTGAGTCAGAATCCTGGCTGTCCCAGGAACAAACAGGTGGGGACTAGGAAAACTTGGGGACTGCCAATAAAGGCCACTAGTTTCCCCTCAATAAACATGTTTCCTTTGTTCATTAAAACAGAACTCTTTTTTTAAAAAAAAAGGTGAGCACACAGCCATGTAGAATAGAATAAGGGCTACAATCTCCAATTTACAGCTAGGTTTGGCCTTGTGATTATATTCCTAGTCAACTGGATGTAATCTGTATTTGCTAGCAAATGTTTAACAACCACTACTCTTTGGGAGGAGGAAGTAGATGGGAGAATATGTTTGTTCTGTTTGCCAGTTCCCATGGTATCAGTTATCCCACCATGGGTAATTTCAAGCTTCCACCCTCATGGCACTGAACACAGAGTTGGGAAGAGCTGCAGCCCCCACCACTTGGTACCAACGGGCTCCAGCACATCACAGAATGTAATGAAGTGCTTGTTATACGTGACTTCTGGGAAGTGTCCTGAAAGGAGGCAAGTCTTACTGGTTGGGAGCATGGCCTTGCTGCTTCCTCCTCCTCGGTGGCCAGAATGTAGATGTGATGGCTGAATGTACAGCCCTCAGAATGGACCAAAAGGAGGAAGCTGTGTCTGTAGAAGTGGCCGAGTCACAATGGAGAAGCCTTCGCCCCGATGCTCAGAGCTGCTGGGCTGGCCCTGGAATACTCACCTGCCAACTTCATTTATGTAACAACTGTGAGGAAGTAGAAAATTTCTATCTTGTAAATGCAACTGGTAGAATATTTAGAGTGTTCCCATTCACAGTGGAATCTCTCATAAATGAGGGTGTCATGCATGCTGACTAGATAACTAAACAAAACTAGGATTATATCTGGTAGGATCATAAAGGATTCAGATTTGAAACAACAAAAAAAGTGTTTGACTCTTTCTGGAAAGGACAAAGAGGACAGAGGAAGAACCACATGCTGGTGAAGGAAGAAGCCAAAGAAGAAATGGATGTGAGAGGATGGGTCTCAGCCCTCCCCACCTCAGCCCCTCCTCTCTGACCTACACACCCACCACAAAGGGTGAGCACATTGGCTTGTTCACACAGGTGGGGCCAGCTTCCCAGTGCACGGCCCCCCACTGAGGGCAGTCCAAATCCTCTGCCTGAGAAAGGAGGACTATTATCAGACCTCTGTCTTCTAGAGCATTTTCCCCAGGTCTAGAGGAGAAATAGTAACTGGAGGTCACTAGGGGGACAGTCTGAGTTGACTCGGGCACCACTAAGACAGGCTGGTGTACCTGCCTATCTGGAATGTATGTACAATGGATTGCTCAGGCATAAGCTGGTCTTTGTGTTGTACAGTGGGTGCCAGACAAACATAGAATGACTTACTTAAAATATAGATGAAATTTATCACATGTGAAGCCCTGGCAAAAGTTAATATGCAAAGAGAAGGTAATAGCATCACAGGTATCTTCTTATTGTGGCCGAAGGATGGGCCATGCAATAAACCTGCCAAGCTCCGTGGGGCACATGGCTGACCTAACAAGGTCAGTGACCAAAAGTTACTACCCGGCATGGTCTGATCACAGATTCCTAACTGGGCAGGTCATAGCAGGTGATCATGTCCCAGGCTGATAGCTTTCTTAGCAAAGGTCAATCCTTACCTAAAGTGAGCCCTGTCCATCACTCTTAGGCATGTAGGATAACATGCCTTTGAAATGCCAGAGTAATTTTCTTTTCCAGCCCCTGAAGGCACAACCGCTGGCACCAGAGTGCAGACCACAGAGCCCCCCATTGTTACCTAGCTCCTTGCACGCTCTCCCTCTCTCTGCTATAAATATTCATTGTTGCGTGCTGTAAACATCAACAGTTAACTGTCCTGTACCCACCCATATAAAAGTATGTGTTTCTCTGTATTGTCTTTTATGCAGTCCTAGAGATTTCCCTGCTTTGCTTTCTCCCACCTCCTTAATCTATCGCCAGTGGGCTTCATGCACCTTCCTTAGACCTCCTTTTATTCTAATATGTAAAATATGCTGCAGAAGTGCCGTTCTCCAGACCATTTGAGGTCTTGCTCCCAAGCATTTGTTGTTGGTTTGGCTCAAACAAACTCATAAAACTTCTCCACAGGTTGGATGTTTCTGAACTCACTCAACATTATCAAATTTCAAAATACGCTTTCTGAAGTCCCTAGGGAGTGGGTGTGTGAGTGTCACACGGGCAGTTCAGCAATGCCGAGTGTCTGAGTGCCTCCTATGCTCACCCTGGGGCCCCTAAAGGATGTCTCCGTTCACTCTCCATTTGAAGGGTCTCTGACTGCATTTAGCCAACCTCTGTCTCTTAACAACTTCAGACTGAAGGACTCTTGTGCAGTCAGCGTAAGTGTCAGTCTCTCTTCATGACCCATACCCACCTCCCACCCAAAGCAGGAGATGCTAAGAAGCTGACATGGGTTGATGGTGCGAAGACAGGGCACTCTCAGTGACAAAGAACGGAAGGGCGGGGAGAGGAAAGACCAAGTCAGCAACAAGAGGAAACAGCCTGGCCCAGGCACACAGATGATGAACACCTGTGACCAGAAGTGATTCTGACAGCAACTAAATAAAACACAGTCTGGTCCTGAGATAAAAACAAGGCATAAACAACACTTTCACCCCCATAGCCTCAAGTATCCTGATAGTCGTCGCTCACATTTACAGGGCCAAGAATCTTTTCAAATATTTGCAGATACTTGCTGCAAATATTTAAGGTATAAGCTTATCATGTTTAAGTCAGAACTCCAGGCACTGGATTAATCTCTCTAGGTTACATCCTGGCTCTGCATTTACCAGCTACAACAAAGTATGTATGTGTGCCTGACCTCAGTTTCCCCAGCCAAAAAGTGAAGACCACCAAGCATACTTTGCAGGGTGGTTGTAAAAATTAGAGAGAACTGACATAAAGCACAGATGCCAATGGTCTGCGCAAAACAGTATTCTCCTAATGAGAGCTATACAAACTTTAGGTTAGAAAAGAATATGTGTTGTTGATATGCAATCAAAAATTGACATTGAGATAGGCTGATGGCACTGTTTTAAATTATAACAAGTACAGGGTTTAGGGGTCTGGGTAAAAAAACTGAAGGGATTAAGCAAAGAAAACAAAGGAAAAAACCCAGACACAGACGACAGCACAGTGATGACCAGAGGGAAAGGGGCTGGGGGAGGTAGGGAGGGTAAAGTGGGGGATAAAACGCAATGGAAGGAGACTTGACTTGGGGTGGTAAACACACAGTACAATATACAGATGATGTGTTATAGAACTGTACACCGGAAACCTACATAATTTTACTAACCAATGTTATCCCAATAAATTTAATAAAAATAAAAAGGAATCACAAAGCAAAAAAAATAAAATAAAATAAATTGTAACAAGTACAAACTGAAATGAGCTAACATATATAACATAATCCACATGTCAATAATCTGGGCCCCCAAAAGAGAAAAATGAGATAAATTCAGGCAAAATCTAGCATTATTTCTGCCACTGTTGTGTAAGCTCTATCTTCATTGTCACACCTCTGTCCACTGGCCCATTTCTGCACCACTGTCCCTGCCAAACAGCACCTCTGTTCTCTTGAGCAAGAAAGCATATTCTGTATTCTACTTTTTAATGGAAGTCTGACATCTACAGACTACCCATATCATCCCTAGACCACTGGCCAAATTCTGAAGGGCGGCTAAAACTTTGGAAATAAGTTTGCCTCTGTAAAATAATTCAATTGGCAATTCAATACCAACAGGGTTAACTTGACATAAAAATTTTCTAAAAGCCAAATTACTATTTGTAGTCAGAAAATGTGTACCTAAGCAAGCTGTTTGCTTCTCTCAAATATAATTCTGAATAAATGGAAGGGAGCTGCTTCTGAAATCCAATATTCAAATAAAATAGAAAGGATCCTTATGAGCAGTTTAAAAGATACATGGGAAGGTGTGGGAGACAGCCCACAGAGGGAGACTGCAAGCTGATCACCAAGGGGTGTGAATTAATTCTTCAGTAACAACGGCTTAGAAAAAACGAATGTGGGTTAAAAATGTCCTCATTTTGCACCAGCATCACACATCACAAGACCTTCTGCAATCTTCTGGGCCAACCAATCATGCAGCTTCTAAATTAACTTTGTAGTTTATTTCAAGTGTCCTAGAAATAACTACTAGATGTGTTAGTTATACACAAATGCTAGGGAATTTTCCTGAGTGACCGCATTTTACAGTGGGGTCTTGGTTTGAATCACCTCAGATGAAACTGAAAGTCAAACAGAAGCAAGGAAATGAACTCACTTGTCAAACTCATCGAAGAGGTCACAGCTCTGCAGTTTTGAAAGAGCAAGTTGAAAATGTCCCGCTAGAAAACAAAAGGAGTACTGTGAATGAAAGCAATCATGGCTTCTTAGGTACACAGTAAGCTACCTCACCCCCTCGCTTCCTCCAAGGCCACTTTCAGCTAGTATGCCTACATTTCATTTCTTCTGTGATGAAGCTTCATGATCCAATTGTATTTAGCCAGCACTACTTAATAGGCATACTCAAATGGTAAACGCTCCAAGGACACGTGCCGAAAAACTCCAGAAAAATAAGAAGCTCAATGGGAAAACAATCATAAAAAAGTAACCCCCAAATTAGAAGTACCAAATGATTCTGAAATTGACATCAGTATAGAAATCAATATGCAAAAAGTTTAAACCTTATTGAATTATCAAACTGTCTACAATATATTTTTAAAAGACTCACATACACATACACACAGGAATAGTTATGTAAGCAAAATCTAACTCAGAAAACTGTAGGCTTGTCACCTTCTAGGCATTTAAAGTCTCTCAGAAATTGAGAAGGTAAAGAAGTTATCAGGCCAATCACATGCAAGCAGGGGAAAAAGTGTTTCATCATTAATAGATGGAATATTTCTCTAAATTTAGCAAAAATAAATATTCATCAATAAAATTTTAAAAATTGATCAAGGAGCTAGAACTTGCTGATAAAATAAATAAAACTCACAAGTAAAAAGGTGAAATGGGAGATCAGAAGGAATGTAACACACAAACTTATCCTGCTAATTCTAAACTGGATTAAGGTAAGGCATCAGAACTCAGTGAGGATATGGCGACAAAAGTAAAAAGCAGTGTCTTAAGCATACAACAGCAAAACCTCCCTTTTTCCCTTTATTCTTTTTTTTAAAGGTTTTATTTATTTATTTTTAGAGAGAGAAAGGAGGGAGGGAGAGAGAGAGAGAGGAACATCAATGTGCGGTTGCTGGGGGTTATGGCCTGCAACCCAGGAATGTACCCTGGCTGGGAATCGAACCTGGGACACTTTGGTTCCCAGCCCGCGCTTCCTTTTATTCTTTATTCTTTTATTCTACATTCCTCAAAGGGATTTATATGTTAAAATTGATTCCCTTCTTCCCATTCCCAAATCAAATTCTTTAGGAAGCATTATGAAACAGAAAGATCACATGGCCTTAAACTTATATAAACATGTGGTTCACATGAAACCCCATTCACATGTCATAGGGCAGGCAGGAATAACATTACTGACCTGATGTTCTTATCCCATAGGGCAAATCGAACTTATCACTACCATATAAGGAAGCAAGCTTTTTAAAGTCATCAGCACAAAGAAAAGGATGGAACTGATGGAACCTGGAAGACAAGGATAAAGAATGAGTTTTCCAAATTCCTCTAACACCTCTAGGCTTTTAAAGTCACAACTGAAAATCATTGCAAGCGTATCACTCATATTGTTATATTGACTACCTGAATGTATACTTTAAAAAAAAATTCTTTAAAATCACTCAATCAGTATTTAAATATTACATAGAATGGGATACAGCATGAAACTACAAACCAACATGGAAACACGTTCCAGGTGGTGGAACCAAAATTATATCACAGCTAAGGGGGTGGGGTTTGGGGGAACAAAATTTTAAAACAAACCAACGCCAAGTGATAAAACATTAGCCATATACAGGAAGAAAGAAAGGAACTAATAGGGGAAAATAACAATATTGATGCTGAGCCACTTCCAAGTGTAAAGGCACCATATGTATGAAAGTGTCAGCTGTGAAAATAAAAAATTCATTAAAATGAGATGTAGCTAGAACTACACTCCTGATGTCATTACATGAAGATCTACTCCAGAATAAGAACCAGGGGCATTTGGCCTCTTGCTGCCTGCTCTGGCCTGAAGGCAACCCCTGCTCAGGGCCTCTCTCAGATGAGAAAGTTTGATGAAGGTAGGGAGTGCCTCTGGTTTTTCTCACTTTTAGTGCCTGGCAGAGTAGGCAGGTAACATATGTTTAATAAGTGACTGAATGAATTTGAACTCCAAATTAATTCTTGATGCAACCATTATATAATAGAAAATAATTTTTTAATTAAAGAGAAACAAAATAAAAACAGAAAATTTGATTTTTGATCCTGAATAGATAAAATGGTATAAAAAAATACCCACTTTACACAAGCATGCCTCAACTAAACCATCATTTATTCCTTTTTTATCTAGAATTATTTTGACTAGCCTATTAAAATTGAGGTGACGGGGGAGGGGGGAATACTTGTGAATGGAAGAAAAAATTCCCTGCAAGTCCTGACAACCATAATGAATAATCATTATTTACATCCCATATAGATGAATATGTAGATCATTAAAGGTCAGTGAAAGTCAGGAAAAATTTCTAAATGTAAAGTTTAACCTACAGGTGAGGGAGAAGAAGACACAAAATAAGGATAAAAATAATGTGGGAAAACAAGAGGGTGGAATACAACCCTAAAAACCAGTTCACTTTTTTGTGATCAAACACAAATAGACCTCTCTAATCTCACCTTTGAGAATAGAACACTAGTCTGATTGAGTTCTTCAATACCTTTTCTTAAAATATGCACAGGGCTCTGACTAAAAACACAAAAAGAGACAGGACAGTCAAGCTCCTCCTTAAATGCAGGGTGTCCACTTTCTACTGCTAAGAGTTGTATGAAAAAAAGTAAACACGTGTGGAAAATGACTGCAGACACATACTGAACCTTTTGTATGCCACGGTTTCTTTTATATGTTTACCTTAGGAGAGAGGCAAAAGCTGGCTTTGAGGGGCAAGGCTGGATCTTATGCCTCCGTTTCATCTCCACAGGTGGCACCCTGTAAGACAGAAACAGAAACGCCGGTCAGAAAGCAGCACCAGGCAGCCTGCCCAAAGGGAAGCAGATGCCCTGGGAACCCACTACGCGCCACCACTGAGAGGCTTCTCAGGCAGGAAACAAAAGTCCTCACAGCAGCCCCTGAGGCAAGACAGTAACTTCTCCAAGTCCTGCACACATCCGAGGGTTCGTGGAGGCAAGGCCAGAGAGAGAGAAAAGGCTGAGGTGATGAACCCACAAGTGGGTCAAAGAGAGGTGAATCAAAGGACCCTCCCAGAAGGGCCTGGGTTACCACCCTGTGAAAGCCACAAGCTGGCTCGCTTTTCAGAAGTCCCCCAAAGCCTGAGAAACCCAGTTTACCCACATGCACATGGCTGGAGATCCCCCACGCCCCATCTGGGTCACCTACCAGCTGCAAAGAGCACAGACACCCCGGCCTAAGCAGGTTGCACACACCCGGCCTTGTGATCTGGTGACTCCACAGATCACACTACTGACAGTCATATCTAACTCTCCTCAGTTCTTGGCACAGGTTGGGCCTGTGTGTCTCCTGAATGGAGCACTTGTCTCCACAGTTTAAAAGGGTATTGTGAAAGACAGAGAAAACAAAAACAAAAGAAGGGGATAGGGTAGCAGGATCCAGACTTAGCCAGGAAAGAGGAAAACAGCTTAATCTAACAGCATATTAATGGCAATCAATTATGTGAAAAATCAATCTAAAAAGAAAACTAATCCATTTTCTTCTATAACTCACAGGATTCAAACTAAAATAGTCTAAACTCATCGGCAGACCCAATTTTCAACTTTGAGGCAACACAGAATCCTTACAGTTAGAAGTGCCAAGTTCCTGAACTATGAGGGGGGACCCTAAAAATACCAGAATTATCTTCTGGAAAGTAGGCTCCTTGTAGTACAGAATACCCCACTAGGTGAGTGTTCTAGGAGCCCATCTGTATCAGTGTACCAACTGGTGTTGTTGTGAGAGGTTGTGTTCTGCTTCAGTGAATTTTTTTTGAAGACTCTTTCAACATGTTTGCCCATTTCATGATGAGTGATTTACCAGTGTACCTGCCCACACCATGCTGAGTGTCCAGCAGTTTTTGACCAAAAATGGCATGACCCCCATGCCCCACCCTCCCTGCTATCTGGATCTCACCTCAGCAACTTTTTTTATGTTTCCCTGGATGAAAACAGTTTTCAAAGGGAAACTTTTTGCCAATGTGGAAGAAGTAAAACAAAAACGGCAGAAGCACTAAAAGGCTTCAAAGTTGATGAGTCCAAAGGCTGTTTTGAGCAGTGGAAAAAACATCTCAATAGGTGTATTGCATGAAATGGAGAGTACTAAATTGGCCAAAAAGTCCATTTAATTTTTTTTCCATGAAATAAAAGCCACTTTTCATTTTCATGAATAACTTTATTGATTTGGATATTTTGAGTATGTCAGCTATCTCCCATGTGGCATAACACTGTTCTCAATAACTGCCTCAATTAATGAGGAGTTTGATCACTATCATCTTCAACTGGTCTACCCAACTGTGAGCATTATCCAGCGAGAAATCTCCAGCATGAAACTTCACAAGCCACTTTTGACACATTTGATCAGTCACAGCACCTTCTCCATACACTGCACATATCTTGTTTTGCATTTCAGTTGTGTTTTTACCTTTCTTGAAATAATAAAGCATAATGTGCTGAAAATGTTGCATATTTTCTTCCATCTTCAATATTAAAATGGCTACACCAAAAATTCACTAATTTTGATTTTTTTTTGTGGGGGGGGAGTCAAGTCCCATTCTGACTTCAGAAAAATCTAAGCAGTTGGCTAGTTTTCTTTTGATAAGTTTCTTTAAACACACATTGACATGACAGCTGTCACAATACAATCTAACAAAATTGTTTTGAATAAAGTTAAAGACAACTAAGTGCTGCTAGAGCCATCTTACAGGGAAACTGAATGAACTTTTTAGCCAGCCCAATACTTTGAAGGTGACTTAAGTTTAAACATACAAGAATAAATACACTATTTTTTAATAAATAAATTCCATGTTTTTTTGGGTCCCCCCTCATATGCAGCTAGGAACACCCTCATGCAAAGAAACATCTTTTGTGAATACCATAAATGGCAAGAATTCCTTGATTTACACATAAGGAAGATACATGAATATGGTGGACCAACACATCAGATCATAAAAACTATATTCAGCCCTGACTGGTGTGGCTCAGTGGATTGAGCACCAGCCTGCAAACCAAAGGGTTGCCAGTTTGGTTCCCAGTCGGGGCACATGCCTGGGTTGTGGGCCAGGTCCCCAGTGGAGGCATGTGAGAGGCAACCACACATTGATGTTTCTCTCCCTCTCTTTCTCCCTCCCTTCCCTTCTGTCTAAAAAAATAAATAAAATCTTTTTTAAAAACTATATTCAGAGGCAAAATAAAGGTTATTTTTAAAGTCATTAAGAAATATAAAGCAAACTATTTTAGATTGTGAAGACAAATTTTGGGTGGCTTTAACAAAAGACAATGATCTGTCTTAATAGTTGTGTGTGTGAAGAAATCTTTTTATCACCAGTGCATTCATTACACTTTTCAGAACAAGTATAATTTACAGAAATTATACATGGCAGCTTTTTATTAAATATCAATATTTAGCATTGTTTTGTTTAGCTGAAATGTTATATCAATTGTAAAAACCATCTCTGGTTACAAAAAATAAAATCAAAACCCTTACTGAAGTTCATTTGTTTCTACAAATGCCCTAAGAAGTCTTAAGCTAAACAATATAATATTTCAAGTAGAAAAACACTAATTTTTAAATAGTTTGGTACACTATTTCTCTGGTTTATGTTACCTGGTTTCTTTTATAGAAAACCTGACTAGAAGTTTTTCACATTAAGCACTGTAAAATAAAGGCAAGAGCTAATCACCGTTTGACAAAAATATTCTATAAAAAGCAATTACAAGTATCAGAGATATTTTTTACTGGTTGATAATTAACCACTACAAAATATGAAACAGAATATATTTCCTGGATTATTTCTCAGAGTGCAGCTGCCTTTGACACCCAAAGCGAGGATTTCCCATAAACAAAAGCTGCAAAGCAGTTCATGTAGCAGTTCCTTCGGGTCAGCGCTTTCTTTCCCACTTTTCTTCCTCCCACCGCCCCGACCTCTGCAGCAGCCCCACATTACAAACATTAAGTACCTGGGATTTACACCTCAGATAAAGACATCACTTGAGTAATTTCAAGTGACATACAGTTACTCCTCATGTAAGAAAGACTTTTTGTGGTCACAATTACTTCAAAAAGTAATTATATTCAAATAACCTAACATCTCATGGTTTAGCAATTACGGAACCATAATTTCACACATGGTAATTTATAGGTTAGGCAAATGTAAATTACCTAAATGCTAAAAGATGTCAACAGCTGCCTTCTGTTTAAGTTCAGAGAGCTGCAAAATTCCAGCAATGACCTATTTTTTTCAGTTAACACACCCAGCCCATGATACAGTATACTAAGTCATAAAGTATAGACCCAAGGAAGGTAATGCCTTCACTAAGTTACAAAACTAGGGCCAATAATACAGTACTCTTTTAATACAATAAAATCATATTTTTGAGTTATATATTACTTGAGTGATAATTTTCACTCCAAAAATGTCACTCAAGTACCAAATTAAAACACCGTCTTTTTGGCCCTGGCTGGTGTGGCTCAGTGGATTGAGTGCCAGCCTGCTAACTACAAAACACTGTCTTTTTTGTTAATGGTAGTATAGAGAAAGTTATTTTATACACACTAATATATCTTTTAAAACTAGAAAATTTCTCTTTTGAAAGTGAGTTCCCTCTTGAAGTTTACTGCAGCAGGACAACTGTGTGTGTTTAGAGGTGGCTCTGCTTTGTTCTGGGGCTGGTCCAAAGCAGGTAGAGCTCCAGTACAAGAAAAGCATTAAAGTTCTACCTTAAGGAGATTTAATATGCAATTTCCAAGTACTTTCCAAAAAGTGTTAAATTGTCACATAAATACTGGAGCCCTCAAAACCAGACAGTCATTTCAAACAACACTAATAATTAGAAACCCTGTACCTCTTCGTTAAGTCACATAGCCTTTCTTCAGCTTATTTTTTTTTAATTGTACATTAATTAGAGTTGTGGTTTTTTTTTTTTTAATAACAAGTAAGTATAATGCCGGCCAGCAGAGACCCAGGGCACTGGGTGTTGTACAGCAACATCCATCACTTCTCTGCAAATGCTGCTGCCGCGTCCGTGTCCTCATGTTCCCTCTCGTGGAAGCTGTCAACCCGCAATCTCAGTATTTAACTTGGTGCGCATCACCATTCCATGGCTTCTCCGCCTCTGTTAGCATTGAAAGGTACTAGACTTGCCATCAGGTCTTCGAGATAATTAATTTCACAGTGATCCTGGCCTCTTGAGTCAAAACAGCTTTTTCTGGTTCCTGAGGATGTGGTTTGCATATAAGTCTCTCATCTACTGAAACCATTTTTGTAAATAAAATTTAGTGGGTTTAAGTTGTTGAATTGTTTTCTCTACAGGATCAACTGCAGAATGTTCTTGCACATTTGTTTTGGTTCTTGCTGTACCCATAAGAGACTGCACAGTAGAAGGCAGCCCCCTGTGCTGAGAGTGTGTGTCTGTGCAACTTTCCAGAAAAATCTTTGTCCAGTACATCACCCCAAACACGCCTGGGCTCTGCACCTGTTGTAACAGTTTCCCATGGGTGATCAAAGATATGCTCTGAAGTTAAGATGTTCGTGGTACTGGCAACCTGCACGGTGACCATTGGTGCAAAGAGGCCAAGAGGCCACTCTGGCCACTGCCCTGCTCTCTAGCCATTGTCTTAATAGCTGTTAAGGAAGCAAGTTCACAGCAACATGCATTTGAGGTGACTTCTGTGTCTAGAGAGATGCATTAGCTTAGGAATCACATGAACATTCCTCAAATCCTGGTAACAAAAAACTGTGGTGGCCTTGGCCAGGTAGCTCAGTTGATTAGAGCATTGTCCTGATATGCCAAGGTTGCAGGTTCAATCTCTGGTCAGGGCACATACAAGAAGCAACCAATGAGTACATAAATAAGTGGAGCAACAAATCTATGTCTCTCTCTCTCTCTCTCTTTCTCTCTCTCTATCTCTCTCCTTCCCTCTTTCCCTCTCAAAATCAATCAATAATTTTCTTTAAAAAAAGATTGCTGAACTCAGACCTTTTCCATTGTCTTTATCATTTCTCCTATGACCAATAACACCATTAATAGGGAAGTAGCTTCTTTTTCTTTTGTTCTTGTCTTCTATTACTAAGTGTGGGACAAAGACAGGATGTGGCAGAGCTGGAGGGAGATTCCTGTGGTATAATTTTTATGCACTGTATAATCAGACTAAGTTCTCTAGCTCAATATTTAAGTTCAACACCTAAAAGTTATGGCTATACCCACCCACCTGGCATTGGGTGTTTTCCAGTGACCTTTTGCTATCTTCCTTCCATGAACAGCATTTCAATTATTTTTCAATCAACCAGTGATGTTATGAAATGCAGAAGTATTGATTTATATTTTTATTTAGGAAACACAAGCTAGAAACATGATCTGGGATCTATTACTAAAACACAGACAAAAAGAGCTAACCTTCCTCTAGAACAAGAAGTTGTCGTGTGATTTATTTTGATATAATCATATACTACCACCTATTCAGGTTTGAAGATCATCAAAACTTTATTCCTAGACAAAGGACTGAAAATGGGGAAAAGGATAAAAATCTTACTGGAGAACTTTTCTCTGCAATAAAACTACCTTTATCTCTTCAAAGTTTTATATGACATTTCAAGTCTAAGTTGTTGCAAAATATACACATATTATCATTCAGCAAATATCTTTAAACAAAGGAAACTATACATAGTATCTACAATTTATCAAACAATCTCTTATCCAAGCATTTTAGGCTCTTAAAGTCAAGTACCATTGAGTCCAAGAATTACTCCACCAATTCAAGGACATAAAATAATATATGAAGAATGTTATATTCCAAAGACAGTCAACACCACTGCTTCACTGGAGAGTCAATAAAAAGGTATTGCATGTCAGTTTATAAACTGTGAGAGATAAAATATACAGTGCAATAGAATGATAAAACCTCAGTTTATAATGGAAAGCTAGAAAAGTTTCAAAATGTTACAGGGCTCTTTAATGGGTCCCTCTAATATTATTTGTGTGTCTGTGTAAAAGACTATTTTGGAAGTTATTTCCAAATAGCAAAAATGAAACTTACCCATAGACATCTGTTCTCCATAATATGCAGTACAGCACATAGTAGAGGAAGACAGCACTCAGGAATATGGCCACGAGGTACCCTCGCATGGCTGGCCCACCTGGAACACAAGGGACAGAATCCAAAGGCAAGGCTGTCATACAGATGGCTTTACCCACCGGCTCCAACATCAGCACGGTGAATAAACATGTAGAAAGGGAAAGCACAAGAAAATGATACAGGCCTATTATTTTCAAAATACCCACTAAATATGCAGAAAAAAGAGTATTTTTTTTCTATTTCTCATCCTCTTATCTTTCATCAACACAACATATCACATGTGTAGGCCACTCAATAGTTCCACTGTTTCAAAGCCAGTGGCTTCCCTACCACTTTCTCATGTTAGGTGAGAAAGAAATCATTCGGAACAAAATTTTAAACATCTACTCTGTACTGAAAACCTTTTTCCAGAAACATTGAAGAATATCTGCTTTCTCTCAGCAGGAAGTGGATGTGTGCCCTCAAACGTAAACAGTCACTCCCGTGCTTGAAATGACTGTTCAGTGCTGCACATTACAATTTTTACAAGTCCTTTTTTAATTTCATAAAAAACTAAGAAAAAAAGCCATTAAAAATATTTCCCACATTCTCAACTTTAATACACCTTTAGATGCATCTTTGTGATTTTTCAATATCATAGCACAGGTAAATTCAGTTAACTACTTGCCTGCTTTTGTATTAAATGACAGTATAGTTCATTGCACATTGGTAGGCAGAAAAACCCTGACACAATCCTTTCTCAAATATAAAGGAAAAAAAACCTTTAGAGAATGTGTGTGTGTGTGTGTGTGTGTGTGTGTTTAATATATATATATATATAAATATATATATATATATTTTAAAACCTAAAACTTATTTATTTGGCTCCCCCTTTTACTTCAAAGACAGAAATAAGTTCCACATGCAATTAAATGCAAAACCTCCCAAATGTATTATATACAGCTCCATAATAGATCTTCTATTTCAATGCACGTGACTTTAAACAGATATATTATTTCTTTGCACCTTTCTTCAAGTTCCTGATGCATCTAGACAACTGCACACACCACTCTCTCACTGCTAACTGTTAACCTCAACTAGGGCAACGCAGTGTAGAACACATGAGACTAGTTGCAGATATTTCCAAATATGTAATTCTGCCTCCGTTTCAGTGGTTAAATAAGTATAAATGGAAATCTTAAAATAAAGCACTCCTTTGCCTTTGTAAGTAGAATACACTGAACAGAATTTAAACTTTCCTTGATAATGAAGGTCATCTTAACAAATGTCGTAATTGTGCTGGGCTCTGTCAGAGTTGGAACTACTGCGTGTGGGGGGCTGTTTGCTAACCTGTAAGAACGATCCAGTGAAGGCTGCTAACCTTGCCTCCCGTGTCGTACCTGTTGCTTACCACTGATATGAAGACAGCCACCACCCCACGTGCCACTATTATAAATCAGTTAAAAATGAAGGCTAAGTCAGAGGAAAGCAAATAAACTAAATGAGCCAATTTTAGTTTACACATACTTCTAATTTAGTATACACAATCCCTGTGAAATCAAACAACAGGGTTTACAGCCCAACTCCACACAGTTCCTGGCTTGGCAGACCTTAGGTGGTAGCATGCTTACCGGTTAGGGCACATGAGCTGCGTCTCTGGGCTTCCAGATGGACTGCCCAAAGTGACAGGCACAACACGTGACACAAAATATGTGCTGCGTATGTTTGTGTATTTTGTCATTGTCTGTTTTCTAAATGTATAGAATAGAAGAGAGACTGTTCTATAACATGAACGCTACTGGATTGCTAAACTGGACTCAGGACAGAAGCGGGAGATTGCTTAGTGCAAACCCCACTTAGAGAATGTCTGATCAGAACCCATGTTCATTCTGACATAAATCAGCACCCCTTCCCCTGCCTCCCACTACATGCTGGGTCCCGGAACAGGCTGTTGCCCCAACCTGGTCAAGCACATTATTTCCCACACTTGGTAGCATTCACGTACTAGTACTGTGACTATCCTTGCCCCACCCCCTTTTTACCCTATATAATTCTTTGGCACCTGCCAGGTGGGCACAGGAATCTATTTTGTCTTGCAGTTGCCCCGGACATATCTCCTATGTAAGTTTCCCTTAATAAACTCTATTAATTGCCAGATTGGAGTGGCCTGCCCTCCACTTGTGAAGGTAGATATTTATTCTTAGAGCTTTCCCAGAGCTGGGTCTGTGTATACTAACAATTGGTGATCCAGCCAGAAGACCAAAGAAATGAGCTTGGGGGGCGGGGGGCAGTATCTGCAGGGGAAACTGGTAAAAGAGCTACATTTAATTGGCTTACAGGAATTAAGCACTTATATAAATTAAGGATTGGGTATTCCAAAATTTTCAGAAGGATAGAAACCAAACAAAATGCTTTACAGGATCAAGAGATCTGGGAAAATACATGGTATTAAAACTAGTTTAAGTTTGTTGGTTTAATTAAAACAGACATGTCTTTACCTTTACTTTAGCTAAGCTTATAAATTGATCAGCAAAAATGATAACTTAGAATGAAGGCTTATTTTGTCTAAAGTCTCATGAAGTTTTGTGGGTAACCTAAACATAAATGTGAAGAACTGATAAATAGATTTAAGTAGAAAAAAAGGATTTTAGGTGAAAGCTTTAGCAATAATTGTAGGTTTATGAAAAGAAATCTTTGGAGAAAAAAATTTTTAATGCATGGTCTGGCTAAGATTAAAATGGATTTAATTAAGTAAATTTAAATATTATAAGTCAGGTCTTTAATTACTAAAGAAAACTGAATCTTCTCAATAGTAAAAGCTAACCTTCTGCATTTGAAATGCCCAAGCTGACTTTCATCAAAAGGCAGCAGCAACAAAATCTGTAGAGACTGTGGCACATACAGATAAAGTTCATCCTTCTTCTGCAAAAATGACCCCATCACTGACAGATTTTTGCCATCCTGATGTCCTTGTAATATGACAATACTCTGCTCTGGAATCAGGAAAATTAAAATAGGTAAACAATGGTTGTCAATTAAACGAATGGTTGGGGCTATGGGGAACCCAAGACAGCCACTTGGCTCTTACAGGCTCACTGGAAAACCCCGTTTCTCAGTGCTTGCATTCTTTCATTCACTTAGGGCATTTAAGCTGGACTTCATTCAGCGGCCACTCAGTGTGGGGTATCCATTATGTTCTTGTGTGGATATCTTCTGGAGTGTTTGGAGCCCTCTCCTGCTGCAAGGCTGATAGCCTCACAGTGACAAATTGTTAGAAAAATGGTTCCCACTTGGGGCATACCATCTAAGTGTTCCCTCAATGTACTTAGCCCTACCATATGCCATGGGATGGTTGCTATGAACTTGGCATTGTTTTCCTTCCTGATCTCTGTGAAATGGGCTCACTATATTGATGACATAATGTCAACCTATAAAGATTTACTTCTGCTACAGAAAACCTTGCAGGCTCTACTGGCCACCTCCAACAGAGAGGATAGACAGTGCATACACAGAAAATTCCAGGTCTGCGCACCACAGTCAAGTCCTTTGAAGTCGCTTGGTTGGGTAAGACCAACATTGTCTCTGAGGGTGTCACAGCCAAAATACTAGCCTAACCGATCCAAAAAAAAAAAGTGAAAGAGGTACAGGATTTTGTGGGAATTGTGGGGTACAGGGAAGCATTTATACTCCACCCAGCACAATGCCTTCACCCACTGCGTCACCTAGTTAAGGACATATGTGGGACTAGGGGGCTGAACAACAGGCTGCCTTTGAGAAGGTAAAAGTACGGGTGAAACAGATTCAAGTTCTTGGAGTCTTCCAGGCTAGGTTCCCATCTGAGTGAGATGTCTCAGTAACTCTGAAAGGCACAGGCTGGGCATTTTGGCAAAAACAAAAGGGAAGAATGCCCCTTGGGTCTTGGTCCCAATTATAGAAGGGGGCAGATATCAGATACACCAATTACAGCAATTATTGACAATGAATGCAGTGCTCCTACAGGTGGAACCTCTTACCAAAGAGCAGCCAGTTACCATACAAACTTCCCTTCCCATCAGGGAGTAAACAGACAACATGTTCCACTGACCTGCCTCTCCCCAGCTCAGACTCCTACACTCACTAAGTGGCATGCTTGCTTACAACAGAGGAGCACTCTGCCCAAGAGTCCTCTTTCTTTAGAGATGCAGTAATTATTAGGCTCTGTTGAATGTACAGATCCTCCAAGTGCTCCTACTTCTATCCCCAAGTCTGCAAAGAAGGAATATGGGAAGTTCCAGCTGGAGCTTGGTGGACTATGGCTCTAGCCAGCATAACCCATCTACCTAGAGGACAGTTGCCATCCAACCATCCCCCAGTGCTATCTGGGCGGAAGCAGGAACAAGGAGCTGAATTAGGAGTTGTCTGGGTGGTAATCATGCATGACCTTGACCACTGATCCTGTATACTAACAGGTGGGCCATTTTAAAGTGAGTAACTTTATGGTTTGACAATGGAAATGGAGGAGTGGACAATTATGAACACGCCTTTATGGAGACAAGATTTGGGCTCACGAGAGCATGATCTTGTCTCCCATATGCCTGACCAAGAGGCATCTGCACCTCAAAAAAACCAGGAAGCAGATGGTCTGGCAAAAATACACACTTTAACAACTAGCCCATCAGCTGACATGACAGTTTGGGCACACCGGAAGAGTGGCATGGCTAAGGACCAGCGCTGCCTTTAAAAATGCAGTGACCCAGTCAATACAGTTGTTGAATGAGGTTCCATCTCGCATATCAGCAATTTTCAACCCTTTTCATCTTGTGGCACACATAAACTACTAAAATTTTGCAGCACACCAGAAAACGTATTATACTTTCAGCCAATGTGACCAAAAAGGTTGGAATATATTTGATTCATTCACATCAGACAGCTACTGTTGTGTTGGTTTTGTCATTTTTTATTTGACAGTCTGAGGGAAAAGAGGTCAGTGCCCCTGACTAAATAGTCAGGTATTGTGTGTTTTAAAAATTCTTGTGGCCCACTGGCTGAAAATTGCTCCCCTATCTCACCCATAGGCAGCTGGGTAGGTAGAATGGAAAAATGGAGACCTTAAGCAACAGACTGAGTTACTAACTAGAAAACCCACTTTGTCTGGTGGATGAAGGTGCTTTCCCAAGCGTTGATACATTTAAATGACTAACATGTGGGCCCCGCTCCTCTGTACACCAGGCTGGCACCTGAGACTGAGGTGCCCAACAGGGTAAAGGGGTGGAAAACAAAGGACACAGCAATAGTCCCAACGTTGCCCTGAACCAACAAACCAGGATAAAGAGAGCACCAAGCCCTACAGTCCGTGGGATGTTCCCCGAGGATGAGTCAGTTACTTCACACCCGTGGGTGGGGAGAATCTGCTCAGACTCTGGTGGGCTCGTTACCCTGATGCAGTCAGGACGCGTGGAGACAAACTCACATGGGCTGGGACACACACTATTGAAAGAAGGGAGAAGCACCTCACGCCAAGAAGCACCACCTCCCTCGGCCAACTGCATGTTTAAACAACCTGGCCGCATTCCCAAGACTGTGGCCACATTAACCACCAAAACTTAGGCTGCACGTTTAGTTCTCACAGCAGGAAAAGATCAATTCAAGTACCTACCAAATATTTTTCTTTCTGATCTTGGACTCTTGCTGTTCTGGTTGCATCCAGTTTGTCCTGCATCATATGTCAGATTCCCTTAATAAACTCTCTTATTACCAGACTGGAGTAGCCAGCCAGTTTCTGTGGTCTTTGCCTGCCCTCCACTTAGGAAGGCAGATTTTTGCTGGGTCTACATGCGTAAACAAAAAGTCAGCTGTTCTCTTTTGCTATGCAGCTAAATGCATGTGTTTGGAGAAAGCCAAATTGTTATTTGGCCTATCCCGAATACAGCCTGTGCTGTATTCTTATTGGTCTGACAGGAAGATGCAACTGGGTGTTGCTCCAGCAGAAAGCCCAGCATCCGCTGATGCCAAAGGGGGCAAAGCATGTGAGAGACATACAGGGCTGCTGCCTCCATCCCCTCAGGCCTGTGCCTCTCTTTCCACTTTGGTCTGTCTTCCTCACCCAGTGTGATGTATGCTATCTTGATGTATTGTGGGGTATTTTAAATATCACCTTAAATTTATCTTGGTAAAAAGCAAGAAATAAATTACATAATATTTAGTGGGAGAAAAATAGTGTGGTTCTCTGTTTGAGAAATCATTGGTAAAATCTAAGTGATAGAGAGAATTAAGGCTTGGGACTGCCAGAGTAAAAGTTCAAGATAGTGAGGTATTTGGGGTGTCAAACGCATCGCTGAAGTGGCTAATCGATGACTCAGAGACAGACAAGATAGCAGGCCCAGAGGGTGGCCCTTACAATGTGTTCAACAAACAGTAGCTTTCCTTCCTCCACATATGCTGGATGAACTGAGAACAGTCCAGGAACTGGACCCCAGCTCGGCACTAAAGGGCAATTCACTGTATATGTGAGAGAGGTGACACCATTAAACACTGCGCCAGACGCCATGCGCCATGTTTCATGATGACAAGAGAGAGCTATCAGCGCTGACTGGGAGCTGAGGTGGGCTTGGCTTGTCTCCTCCCTTTGACGGACCTCAGCAAAATGCTGGTTTTTTTCCATGTAGGTATCACCCAAACATGAATGTAGGATGTTTAAGACTGTCCTGGAAGGCATTTTACCATGGGCCAAAACAGTCCCCAAACAACTACTTAAATACTCAAATTAAATACTTAAGCCTCTGCTCAGAATAACATCATTTATTCAAACACCCAACAAAGATGACACCAGTATCAGCAATTTTTAAAAAACATATTTACATCTAAGATAAGATAGCATGTGACCTAGAGAAAAAATTCAGCATTTACAATTCAGTTTGCTTACCAGTCACCCAAAACATATTGTTTGGGAAATTTATGTATTATTTCACAGAACTCAGAAGTTTGAGTAACAGACATTTTCATTGTTTTTCCTTCACAAATGTTGTTTAGCTGAAAACAAAGTGTAAGAGAATGTTTTTTTTCCTTCAAAAAGTAAAATGAACCCAGTCTTCAAGAGCCACTGTATACACTTACATGAGGAAAACTTCAGAGAATTAGCCACCCTCTCATAGTTCGTGAGCAGTTCAAAGTGTCCATATTCAAGTTGCAAAATAGCTGGACCAGCCACAATATCCTTGTGATAAACATATAGTTCCTCTGCTTGCTCATAGGAAAAAGCTTCCATAAACAAACAAATTCTCTAATTATATTTTATAAATGGAAAGACCATTTTGCTTCAAGCAAAATTTTTCAATGGGAAACCAGATAGAATGCCTGCTTTTAAAAAAATTATCAGGCCCTTCAATATAGCTTCATTTACTAAAACAAACAAGTTTTCTAGTTCTTGACATTAAATATGACCAACGCCAGCTTCCTGGCTGCAGCTGCTCCTAAAGCTGGGTTCCCTAAGACATGCTTTACAGTTATATCAGAAAAGCAATTATTCATCTGAAGTGTGAGGAGCAGGCCTCAAGGGACAGTAGGACTCGTTGGCAGAGATCACACGTTTATTTCTTAAGTTATATTTAACCCAATATATATAAATAACCTACGTATGTGTAAGGGAGCTCAGTCTTGGCCACAGTCTTTTCTTCTCTTTAAAAATGAAAGTACATTTTATTCGTTCATAGAACACTGTATGCCCACTTCACATAAGGATCAAAACAAGCTTTATAACTGGGTGTGGGGGAGTGCTCTCGATTACTGAGGGAACCGAAAGTTTCTGAAGTGAGTTGCCCCAGGTTTGTCCCAGTTTGAGAGACAGAAATAGACTTAAGATCTGACCACTTTATTCTCAGGGTTCCATTTCTGGTGTCATCCTGTCCCTTAAAATAAAAAGCATTAGGGGAACTCAAAAGACAGCATTCTAATCTGGAACTTCCTGACAGGGCTTCAGTCAGTTACTGGTGCACTCAAAGTGGCTCTAGGGCCACGTTCTCCAAGCAGACATAGCAGGTCTGTGGGTCAGCACTAGCTTGGGCTTGTTAACATTTCCTACTCGATCTGAATGTATGGGGCTCAGGTAAGTGTGTTGAAACAAGCACCTTTCAACTTGGTTCTTATGCACACTAAAGTGTGAGAATTGCAGCTCTAGGACACTAGAGCATGGAGGGAAAGAACCGTGGGGGTGGGGATGGAGTTACTGAAACACGGAGACCACAACAGAAATTACAGTGCTTACCCTGCTGGACGGAAAGCTTTGTGACAGCAGGACTGTCTTGTCTATCGCTTTATTTCCAGCACCTTTGATAAAACCTGTCACATAGAAGATGATAAGTACATAGTTGTTGAATATAGTTACAGATCCCATAATTACATGCCCATATTATTATTTTTTTATCCAAAATGCCTAGCACATGGACAATGCCCAGTAAATAATGGCTGATTAGAATCATTGATATAAAAGTACTAAATTAAAAAATAAAAGAGCCCTGACCGGTGTGGCTTAGTTGGTTGGGTATCATCCCTCAAAGGGAAAGGTCACCAGTTTCGATTCCCAGTCAAGGCACTTGCCTAGGTTGTGGGTTTGGTCCCCGGTTGGGGCGCATGCAGGAGGTAACCGAGCAATGTTTTTCTTTCACATCAATGCTTCTCTCCTTCTCTTTTTCCCTTCCCTTCCCCTCTCTCTAAAAATAAATAAATGAATAAATAATATGAGTGTTTAGTATGTAACAAGGCCTGTGATAAATGCTTTGGGTGAACTGTCTCATGTAACCCTCACAATTGTGAGGGGTGTGGTAAACTTACAATTCTCATTGTCAGATGAGGAAAACAAAGCTCTGAGCATAGCAGTAACTTTCCTGAGCTGATAAGTAGCAGAAACAGGACTCAAACCTTTACCTACCAGACCAGAGCCCATGCCTCTCCCCCAACGTGAGCTTTTACAAATGCGCACAGGCCCAGCCTTCCAAAACCACACTGAACATTACAGAATGTTTCTCTAATCTGTCTATCCCACCAGCTCCTTAAGCTGTATCAATTCTAGGGGTTGGTGAAATGGAGAGAAAGGTTACAGTCACAAACTGTGCTGAAATTAAACTGTATTACACCCAATCATGTCTTCCCAATCCCATTCTTTTGGAATTGAGCAAATCCATTATTGTTTTCTCTGTGGCTCTGTTGAGTGTGTCACTGCGGTGAATCCCAACCTTTAGTATGCACTAGAGTCAAACTAGAGGGCACCTGGTTCTCTCAGTGCGCGCTCCTGAGGCCCACAACCACAGCAGCAAGGCTTATAGAAACAACCACACAAGAAATAACCTATGGAATGTCACTTGAAAATGGTCTTATTTTTATTTTAGGCTCTCTTGCTGTTTGTTTGTTTGTTTTCCAACAATCTACTAGAAAAAAGTACGTTCGGCAATAATTCTGGAAGCATTTTTCTATCTACCACATGTAAAAACTCTATGGGTATCTCAGTACCATACAACACCAAGGAAGAAAATCTTTCAAGTTCACTTGTCCAGAAGCTCAGCACATATGCACAGACCCGGCCTGCCTGGCCTCTCTGGACCCAGTTTCCTTTAGATCTGGCTGCAGGAGCTTCCTATGATGCCCACATGCATTGTCAGCCCCGCTCCAGGCCCAATGAAAGGGGGCCTGAGGAACCTTCCAGTAACAACTCAACAGCTTTGTCAGGTTCCTACTGATTCTGTTAGGCTGGATAGGTTGCAAACCAAGGCAGGGAAGGGGAGGAAGACCTGTCTCACTCATTCATTCAGCAGTCCTGAGTCTGGTCAAATAAGATTGCCATGTGTTCTGAAAATCACAAGAAAAAATCCCATGAAAGCCCAGGAAGGAAGCCCTTAAAATTTTCTATATATCATTTCCACTATCTGGGAAAGACAGCCTCTGAAACTGTATATTCATCCCAAGGTCTGGAGAAGGGAGGAAGAGGGGAACCTAGAAGTCAGAGCACTCAGACTAGCTAGGTGCCTGCTTGCAGCTTCATGCTCAAGTGTATTTCATAAAACTTGCTATCTCATTTCCACGATACGTGTTGTCTCTGGCTTGAGTTCATCTCTCACAAACAAGACAAGAACTGAGGAAGGGGCATCCCCTAACTCAGGTCTCCCCAGTAACAACTCCACCCTGACTCTGGACATACCTACTGGGCCTGGGTTCTTGCTGCCAGGTCCTGGATTCAATCCTAGTTCTTCAATGTCTGCATTCTTCTCTTTCAGCCACCCTGGTAGCTCTGCAGCCAAACTTCAAATTCCTTAGTAACTAGGATCCTAAACCAGGACTTCATCCATTCCATCCCCTTATGCTGTTTCTTCTGTGACAGGTGTCCTGCCCTTCTGCTGCTCAGTCTCCACTCACCCCTAAAACACTGCTGCTCAACAGTAACACCCAATCACTTCATCGTTGTGAAAAACAGAAAAGGACACCCCTCTGGCTCTACACAGCCCCATGGCCATAGAACTTGGCACAGGCAGGATTGCAGCCACAACCTTCCCCTTCGCCAGGTGCCCCTGTCCACACTCATCCCCACAAACATACCAGGTGGCCCTGCTGGTGGTCTGTGTCCATTGAGCTCTGGAAGAGGCCCTTCTCCACTCTGGTGTCCACCACTCCTCAGCTCACAGTGCCCTACGCTCAAGACTGTCAGAACTTGGCCAACAGATCTTACATCCTGCCTTCCCTCCTCTTTGTTCAAGGTCAGGCACAAATAACGCACCCCCCCTTTTAACTACAAAAGTATAAGCATGTAATTTTCTAACATAACAATATAACACTCAAGCACACGATATAACATTTTAGGTGAGGTGTTCAAATTAAAACTGTAAATTATTACACCCATATTATTACCCTACCAACTGCACTCGAGCAGGCGTTACTTCTGCCAGACCCTGTATGTACTACTTAGCTCATGACTATTCTCTGTAATCACATGCTCATGTGATTATTAGCTCCAGCTCTAGCTGTGCATTAATGTCTAGATTCCAGTCCAGCCTCATGGGTCCCCTAAGCCTCCTAGATATAGCCATCTTCATATAGCCAAAGCCTTGACAGAGACACAAAGGACCCCCCATGACAGATGCAGAGACCTCAGTCCTCTTCAACTTACTCACTACCCCTCTTTTAAGTGTGGTCCTTAGTACTAACTGGATGACCCAAAGGTGTCCATAATCTCATTGCCATACCAAGGACCTCCACCCGCTGATACTGATAATCCTGTAAATGACAGCACAGATTATTCAGTACTTACTAAATCCCCAGCACTGAACTAAGCCCTGGGCACACGTGATGAGGAACATGGGGGCATTATCAACCCGATGCTGAACATGCTTAATTCCCAGAGCAGTGGCCAGAATTTGAACTCAGGTCTGTCCGGGGTTTTTACTTGTACATTATAGGAAACTATAACCCTATACTTTTAAACTATAAAACTATGTTTTTAAACTATAAAATCATGAATGTAATATATTCACTTAATAGCTTTTTAAAGTAAAGCAAGAGAATGATATACAGTAAATGAATGCATTTACTAAAATATACTTAGAAACACCATAATATGAAAATCTGTTTATTTCACAATTAAAGGGATAAATCTTAATGAATCAGTAGTCTGGCTGATGCAATTTTGTTAGAAGGACCTGAAAATGCTCAATAGGCCCTAAAGTATAAAATAGCATACATAAAATTAAGTAATATGCAATATTCCACCTGAAAAAGCTAAATTTAAATCTGAAGTGTTGAGCTATTGCTACTTGATACAAATTGAGGGGGTAAAAGTCTGACATTGCTGAGTAAATTAACAGAAAATTATAAGTTGATTTATGTGCCCTCAAAAAAAAACTATTTGTATAATTTCAACAAGTTAGACCAACTGTAACACATTCTGACTGATTTCTAAATACGTCAATTTTTTTTTCTTTCTGCAAAGCAGAAGAACATGTACAGTTAACTTACTTTCTCTCCTTTCCCCCAGGTCTGCGAAAACAATGAGATGCTGCTAGTTTCTACACACCTACACGAGCACTCTTCTCCTTCGGTCTGTCAAGAAAGCCAGGGCTGTTGCTAGACTTCATCCTTAGCACATGCAGGCAGATATTTTCACCTAATTAGAGCTAAGCCTTCACCACCAAAGTAGAGGACTGAATCCTCCCCTGAAAACTGGGTGTGCTCACTGCAAAGAATAGAAAAAGGAGAAAAATGACATTTTGGCAGAATCTGGGTGTTTTAGTAGCACAGCGGGACACATTCAAATCATCCCACTAACAGCATATTACACTGGGTGATAAAAGTAAATGAACTGAACTTCCTGTTTTTGAGATTTCTCCCTTTAGATTCAGTGGCATTGAAAATACACAAAGAAGTTGTTAAGGGAACTTCTTATGTTCCTACTGTTCATTCATATTTTCTGCCAGACTCCCATTTCTTCTCCCAGAGTGGACACTTTCTCTATTTCCTTATATTAAAATCCCACTAATAAGATGGCCTCCAAGAAGTATTAGATAGTGTCAACAGTTTCATGATTATGGCCAGTTTTTTTCAATTAACTTTACCAAGATAAAAATTTTATTCAATAAAATTAGCCACTTTATCATGTATAGTTTGGTGAGTTTTGACAAATGCATATGGTCATATAACCACTACCAAAATCATATTAAACATTTCCATCAACCCCTGTTAGCCGACTTCCTCCCCCTGTTCCTGTCTCCTAATCTGTTTACCACTGTAGTTTTGCTTTTTCTAAAAGTTAAGTATAAATGGAATCATACAATATATTATCTTATTTATGGCTTATTTCAACTAGTATAATGCTTTTGAAAAAAAGTCTATGTTGTTGCTTCTACCAGGAAAAGTCCTTTTTATTTCTACGTAGTATTTCATTGTGCAGCTATACCATAGTTTGTTTATCATTCCAGCAGTTAATGGGCATTTGGTTTCTCCTCGTTTTTGGTTACTGTAAATAAAGCTACACTGACCATTTAATTACAAGTCTTCAGGTGGGCATACGTCTTCATGGGTCATATAGTAAATGTATGTTTAAATGTATATGCAAATTTTATATTGCATTCTGATGCCTATTTCTAACAATAGATTTGCTTCAATCCCTCAGTTAAAAGGAAAAAGCCCCTACCTATAACAATTCAAATTACTGACACAGCTGAATAACACAAACCACTGAAAGAGATAAGAAATGATTAATCTATTAATAATATCCAGCACTCATCTACTTCAGAATACAGGGTACAGAGTTCACAGTCTGGTGAGGGAGCCAAGTTACAGTTTCAAAATGAGTGTCTGTTGTGAGAATAAAAGCCAAATGTTTTAGACCCCTGCTACTCAAAGTGTGGTCCACTGGCCAGCAACATTGGCATCACCTGGGAACCCAATAGAAATGCAGCATCTCAGCTCTACTGCTTTATCCAGTGAGTCAGATTTGCATTTCAACAAGGTCCCAGGTGATCTGTGTGTTGAAGAAGCACCCCTGGAGGTCTGAGGAGAAAAGGAATTACTGCCACTGAAAGGATCAGGGCTTCACAAAAAGTTTTTCAGAGGAACTGAAGCTCATTCTAAATTCCATGCTAGCTCTTTTTTTATTATTATATTTTATTGATTATGCTATTACAATTGTCCTGATTTTCCCCCTTTGCCCCCCTCTATCCAGCAACCCCCACTCCCTCAGGCAATCCCCCCACCATTGTTCATATCCAGGCATCGGTCATGTTCCTGGGCTGCTCCATTGCCTACACTGTACTTTACTTCCCCACGGCCATTCTGTGACTACCTATATGTACTTCTTAATCCCCTCACCTCCTCACCCAACCCCACACCCATCTGGCAACCATCACAATGCCCTCAGTATCATTGATTCTGTCTCTGTTCTTATTTGCTTAGTTTGTTCTTTAGATTCAATTGTTGAAAGATTTGTAGGTTTGTTTTTTTTTGCCATTTTATTGTTTAGGGTTTTGATCTTCTATTCTTAAATAAGTCCCTTTAACATTTCTTATAATTATGGTTTGGTGATGACGAACTCCTTTAGATTTTTCTTGCCTGGGAAGCTCTTTATTTCCTTTGATTTTATCTCTTTTAAAAGTCCTTTGGGCTTGATCTTCTAAAATTTCCAATCAACAGAATTTTCTCTTAAGAAGCTAGTCAGACTCTCTGAAAAGTAGCAAAAACTTTCCTTTGCCATTGTAGGGGATGTTTACAGTTTCTTTATAAATTCACTAGACATTTTCCTTTGTATATTGTTTTCTTATCTCCCATTTACGACCAGTATCACTAAGACACTGCTGGTATGTCTGAGAGGAAATACAGAGCAGTGGGCAAAAGTGGGTTTACAGTTGTTTGTGTGGGAAAAGACAAATTGATTGATAATACGGGAATGAACTCCATCTTTCAACTGTAAGTCTATTCACAACTGTAAGTCTATTCACAACTGTAAGTCTATTTTGCCCCACCTGTGTACAGGACTCATTTCAGATCACACCTACAGGGCACAGACTTCATTCTGCATCACCCTCCGATTCACCTGCAAGTTTTAGCCAAAGCGCCAGCCAAACCTCTACCTATTTCCAATTATTGCTATTCGCAATTTTCACCCAAGCACTGCGGATCTGAGAGCTGGAAAACCTCCAAGGATTCAGGGCATTTAATCCGAGTAAGGTCTTAAGTCACCATATTCCAGGAGAGGCAGCCAAGCCTTAGAGGAATTTAAAACCTTGCCAAAGGTTACCTCACTCAGAAGCAGCACTGTCTGTAGCACAGCGGAACATTTTCGTGTGGATTCCCCTGCAGAACATTCCAGTCTCACAGTGGGTGCGCGACAACTGCTCGTCTTTGCGTCGTTCCAGTCCTCTCTGCTCTGTGTGGTCCTGAACCACCTCCCTCGGGCGGCACTGCTCTAGCCTGGGTCTCGCCCTCTGACTTCTCGGCCTGGGCTCTAGGTCTCCTCTTTCTCCTCAGCACACCTAAATACAGGTGTTTTCAAGCTCTTATCTTCATCCGATTTCCTAAACCCATGTTCACATGACTTCTCAGCTACTAGCAATCATTTCTGATCTTTCTTTCCTTTCTTTCCTTTCTTTCAACACGTTGCACCTGGCATGAAATCCTCTACGCCCAACTATCACATTGTCACCCGCCCCACAGGGGCTTTCATTGTCTGACAAATACACATAAAATCACTTAGTCTGGCACTGAACACTTCTATCAGCTGTTACTTCTTCTTCTCATCTTATTCTTCAATTTATTCTTTGTAGGCAGCAGCATAATTAGGGTCAAGGTTGTCTGCTTGGCTATCAGCCCTCAGGTTTGAGCCTCAGCCCTACCTCTGACGGGTTCTATGACCCTGGGAGGTGGCTTAACCTCTTTATACCTCAGTTTCCGCTCCTATACAATGGGAATAATGGTGCAACCTAATAGAGCTATTGTAAGTAGTAAATACAGAGCACTTAGATATATGTCTCCCACATGGTAAAAACTGTCCTAATCTTATTTTAATTCTTCTTTTAAAAACAATGAAGTATTGGGTTGGCCAAAAAGTTCATTTGTTTTTTTCTGTAAGAAGGCTTGAGTAGTGTTTATTTGTCTTTAACTTCATGTGAAACAATTTTGTTAGATTGTATTGTGACACTGTCATATCAGTGTGCACATTAAAAAAAACTTACCAAAATTGGTGAATTTTTATATAGCAATTTTAATATTAAAGATGGAAGAAAATAGACAAGATTTTTGGCATATTTTGCCTTATGATTTCAAGAAAGGTAAAAATGCAACTGAAATACAAACAAAAATAAGATTTGTGCAGTGTATGGAGAAGGTGCTATGACTGATTGAACATGTAAAAAGTGGTTTGCAAAGTTTTGTGCTGGAGATTTCTTGCTGGACAATGCTCCACTGTTGGGTAGACCAGTTGAAGTTAATAGTGATAAAACTGAGACATTAATCGAGAACAATCAACATTGTACCACACAGGAGATAGCCAACATACCCAAAATATCCAAATCAATAAAGTTATTGGTAAAAGTGACAATATGTCTTTTATTTTACAGAAAAAAACCATATGGACGTTTTGGTCAACCCAATATTAGCTGCCCATTCACCAAGACCTCATTAAAAAACTATATAACATCCTTAAAAAGATCCTGAAGAACTTGAGGCATTGTGTGAATAATAGCCTCAAAAAAACTAAGCTTCCATTACTATTGCTAGCTATTATTTCTGCACATTCATTTCAACATTCTAAAATATCTGTGATAGGAAGCCTTATTTATCTTCTTCTGAATGTGAAATGAAAGTTGTTCAACATAGTAATAATTCACTAGCAAAACTTGTCTTAGATTAGACCCTATTTCTGGCTATAGGACCCATACCTTTTTATGTTTTTCATAATAAAACTGCTCTGAATCAATAAAAACAAATAATCTAGATTTGTAATCAGCATATCAAATTGAAGCAAAAAATAAAATCAAGAACTCTACAAATAGTCTGAGTTGTAGAATGGGTTTCATCTTTCACTCTGCTCTGGATTCATTCTGTTGAGAAGGATTCAAACGTTGTGTCCAGGCTCAGAAGCAAACACCAGGGTCAATCAGCAATGTCTAACAAGGTCAAAGGAGCTGACTATTCATTGGCCCTAGACTACAGAATGAAGACAGAAGAATAACCACTGCAATGGACAGCAATAAAGAGTTTAAATTTTCTGAACACTGTGTGACGAAACTATTTTAAATGCTTTAGACAAATAATCCTTTTAATCCTCAAAACCACCCTTTAAAAAAGGTACTAACTGGCATCCCTATCATTCAGATGAAGCCCAGAGAAGTCATAATGTACCCAAGACCAGCCAAATAGTAAGCAGCTGAGATTTGAACCCAGGCACACACCAGAATCCATGCTCTTCACAATTATGCTATGAAGATTCAAAACATTTCCATGTTCTAGATGCCAAGAGATGTAAAGATGGACAGGAAAGGCAGTTCCACAAATAAATAAGATGATTAGAACCCAGATTCCACTAAATTATGATGTTTCTGCCAGTGAGAAACCTGAAGATCCAGCCCTGCGTCCAGCCTAGGTTCACAATTTCAGGAGTTCAGCAAGCCCTGTGGCTCAGGCCACTGGGGGAAGGCTTTACAACCACTCACAATAATTTTGGTTTGAATAACAAAACGATCAAGAGAATCTCAAGGACTAAATCCCAAAACCATTATAAAAGTCCGCATTTGCCAGAACCACTGAATCATGAAGTTCTCAGTCAATAAGTGCCCTTCACAAAACGATTCTCAAATAAAACAGTAATGAAATAAGTCCACTGCTAGGATAATTGCTCTCTGACAAACCTTAACAAACCAGGAAGACTGTATGGATTCATTGGTAAAACATCAAGCTAATTCTGGGTAGACATTTGAGCTCCAGAGCATTCTCAGAATAAACTTATAAACTGAGGTTCCAGGGATACTAAGGAGAATATAGCTAAAAATTATATTAAAGTACTTTAATAATAAAATTATTATTAACAATAGCATTTAAAGACAGTAAGGTAATTAAAGTTTATTCTACTGAGAAAAAAAGGCACAGAAAGGCTAAGCATCTTGCCCAAAGTTACACACCTTCTTAACCGCAGCTTCTGTAATACTTATGACTCATGTAACATTCTATTTTCAACTTCAGAATTTTCTTACTCCTTCACTTCCAGATTGGTTTAAAATAGTTCCAAGAAAGGCCCATTCAGATTTAGAATAAAAATAATATTTAAAACTTCCACAGCTCAACTTTGGGGTATGCTATAGTGGAGTCATTCGTCTTATTAACAGTTTCACAGGCCCTTTGGCCTCATGTTAAACTCACAACAGATAAGCAGGCAGTGATATACAAAGGAGAGGGTATTCTAAAGTCACCTGCTTGAGATAGAAACATTGTATCATTGTATAAGACCATTCCAAGTGTCTAAGCTTACTTGAGACAATGGCAGTGGTGCCTTTGCTTACCTGCACTTTTAAGAAATCTGTTTCCCAGCGGCCCTCTGTTCCCGAAGATGAAGACTTTGTAAAGCGTGCTGGAGTTTTCAGGAGGCTGTCTGCGAAATTGTTGTACCACTACAAATTATCCAGGACAGAGGCTGTGCCACTTCTTCTCTGGCAAGATCTGAAATAAAACACAGAGACAGCATGTTTGTAAGAGTGGCGTGGCTACCCAAGAAAAATTTTAATCCATTAGAAACATTTAAATAAAAGTACTTTTATTAAACTCACTCCTGATCCCTCCTAAAATGCTTTACAGGATAATGAAGTTACCAAAAACAAAACAAAACAAAACAAAAAATCCAACAGCAAAATCAGCAACATACAAGTATATTACATTACTGTAGTTCATGACTGGTTATCCACAGGATCCAGTTCAGTCTCCTTAAAAAAAAATAACATATCCAGCTCAATTAATCCAAAGCAACCTGGTAATGAAAGAACCATCTGTCTTATTTTTCAGCTTCTCTCCACACATACACACAGCTTTATTGTTAAATGCGGAGGTGAGAGGTGGAGCTGTTGCTCCGAAAACTCTCTGAAGGGGAAGGGAAGGGAGGGGAGCGAGAATGAGGAGGAGGTCAAGGAAAATGAAAGCATCAAGAAGAAAGCAGCGAGAGAAAGAGTGGGGAAATTAGTAAAAATAGCAACTAGTTTAAGAATGTGCTGTGGCCACTTTCTCAAAAAATTTTTGAAAAAAATCTTTAAATGCTCCTGCGACAGCTTGTCTTATATGAGACTAACCGAGATACGAAAACCACCATCAACAGCAAGACTTGCAGCTCTGCATTTCCTGTGCTGGCAGAAATGTTTTTTTTTTTTAATTCTTGAGAAACAAATATGAAAACCAAAGGTTTTATTTCAGAAGCCACCTATGAACTCTAAATGTTATACAAGGAAATAGTTATGTTTTATTATGAAAATCATATAGTAACATGAAAAAACGTTTAGATTCTACCAAGAAAGAAAATTTTCAAAAGCTGAGTGCACTGATGTTATTTCTACGTGTTTGATGTGTGTGCAATACATTACTGAAAGCCGCTAAAGAAAAACATAATCAGTTCACGTGCTGACTTGTGGACTACAGTAATTTTTCTCTGAAAAGTTTAAAAATCTTAATCTCAATCTAAAATCCAAATCTTAAAACTAAAATCTTACAATTTAGAGAAACAGGAAATGCTTATTTTCATATATTTCTACATATGCACTTAACTTTTTTGTTGTTTTTTAATATATTTTATTGATTATGCTATTACAATTGCCCCATTATCCCCCATCAGTCCCCTCCACCCTACACACCCTCTCCCACTCACATTCCCCACCTTTAGTTCATGTCCATGTGTTACAAATTCTTTAGCTTCTACATTTCCCATACTATTCTTGCCCTCCCCCTGTCTATTTTCTACCTACCATCTATGCTACTTATTCTTCATACCTTGTCCCCCCCTCTCCTCCTCCCAATCCTCTGTTGCTAACCCTCCATGTGATCTCCATTTCTCTGGTTCTGTTCCTATTCTAGTTGTTTGCTTATTTTGTTTTTGTTTTAGGTGTGATTGTTAATAATTGTGAGTTTGCTGCCATTTTACAATACATATTTTTTTATCTTTTTCTTATCTTCTTTTTCTTAGATAAGTCCCTTTAACATTTCATATAATAAGGGCTTGGTGAGGATGAACTCCTTTAACTTGACCTTATCTGAGAAGCACTTTATCTGCCCTTCCATTCTAAAAGAAAGCTTTGCTGGATAGAGCAATCTTGGATGTAGGTCCTTGCCTTTCATGACTTGGAATATTTCTTTCCAGCCCCTTCTTGCCTGCAGGGTCTCTTTTGAGAAATCAGCTGACAACCTGATGAGAACTCCTTTGTAGGTTACTGTCTCCTTATCTCTTTCTGCTTCTAGGATTCTCTCCTTCATTTTTACCTTGGCTAATGTAATTATGATGTGCCTTGGTGTGTTCCTCCTTGGGTCCAACTTCTTTGGGACTCTCTGAGCTTCCTGGACTTCCTAGAGGTCCATTTCCTTTGCTAGAATGGGGAAGTTCTCCTTTATTATTTGTTCAAATAACTTTTCCACTTGTTGCTCTTCCTCTTCTCCTTCTGGTACCCCTGTAATTCAGATGTTGGAACATTTAAAGATGTCCTGGAGGTCCCTAAGCCTCTCCTCATTTTTTTGAATTCTTATTTCTTCATTCTTTTCTGATTGTATGTTGTTTTCTTCCTTCTGGTCCACTCCATTGATGTGAGACCCAGATTTGTTTCCATCACTATTGGTTCCCTGTGCATTTTTCTTCATTGCAGTTATTGTAGCCTGTGCATTGTTTCATCTAATTTGCAACCAAATTCAACCAATTCTGTGAGCATCCTGATCACCAGTGTTTTGAACTGTGCATCTGATAGGTTGGCTATCTCTGTTGCTTAAAAGTATTGGTTCTAGGGCTTTCATTTGTTCTTCTGTTTGAGCCATCTTTTTGGTCGCATCTGCTATGTATAAGGGGCGGAGTCTTAGGTGTTCACCAGGGAGGGTCAGCCCAGTCGCTGGGTTGTGACGCTGTATGTGGGGGCAGGGTGTTTGAGGGAACAATGGTGCTTGCTCCAATCTCTGTGGGCCTTCAGTCCCTTCCGCCACTTCCCTCAAGCAAACTAGGCCTTTCTGGTGCTAATTCCTGTGTGGGTGGGCTTGTGCACCCTTTGGGTCTTTCCAACGACCTCTCCTGTGAGGCTGGGAGTCTCCCTGTGCCTCAACCCCCACAGGTATTTTCAATCAGTGCCCCGAGGTTCTATTTCCCAGTGCTGGGACCCTAGGACTGCCCAGTCAGCCAGCCGCCTAGCGTGCAGTGCCTTGCTTCACAATCACTGCCTTGTGGGGTCTGCTCATTACCACCCCTCGGGTGGGGTCTGCCAGCCGCTGCTTGCGCGCCCAGGGTCCACCCACTGCGGTCTAGCACACGGGGGATGCCTTACATGGGTCCCAGCGCTCTTTGTGCCACAACCACTCTCTGCCCAGCTGTCCGACTCCGCCCCTCCTGCTGGTCTGGATGAACATGTTTATTTTAACTTCTTGGTTGTCCGACTTCCATACAGTTCAATTTTCTGTCAGTTCTGGTTGTTATTCTACTTCTAAATTATTGTTGTCCCTATCTTGGTTGTGCAAGGAGGCACAGTGTGTCTACCTACACCTCCATCTTGGCCGGAAGTGGTCTGCACTTAACTTTTGAAGTGCTAAGTAGTTGACAAATTTATAAATTGTAAAGTGGCAAACCGCCTTAGGGGCCAGGGGCCATTGTTATAACAGAAGTCTCCCAAGTCTCCACCGTGACAGACTTTTGCACCTAAGGAAATTATGGCTAATGATAAGTGGGCCTCAGCAGCATTCTGCCTAAGTGTATACAAATACAGCTCCTAAGTTTCTATTGCCTTCTGCCTACCGTTCTTCATTACCAGCTGATGTAAAGGGGGCAATCACAATATTGAACTTGGAAGTGCCCTTTTCAGATTTTCTAGTCTAAGTCAGTGAGTAAAGAAACCTCAGTGCTCTACCAGGAACAACTGGGGGAAGTGGGATTTTGTTACACTTGGAGAAGTTTAGCTCAAGGGAGGAAATAAAAAAGCCCATTCTTGTGTTTAGATGGAGAAGAAGAGGCATTAGCCAGGTTCTGAAGGCTACCAGTGATTAAGCCAGGGCCAGTGAATGCAACATTCAAGAAGTTAGCTTTGAGCTCTGTAAGGAAGAACTTGTTAATAGTTAGGCTGCCTAAAGATAACTACATGCTGCTTTGCAGGATAATGAGTCACTTGTTACTAAAAATATTCTGTTTTAAAAACCACTTAGGAGGGATTTGGAGATCAGTTCTTAATAAACTTGAATATTCATTGGCATCACCTGAGCATCTTGTTGAAATTTGATTCAGTAGGTCTGGGGGGCCTGAAAATCTGCATTTCCACAAGCTCCCATGTGATGCCAGTGTTGTGGGTTAGAACTGTGAGTCTTGTCAAGGCTGTAGCTTGATTACAAGCACTAGAATGTTATTTAAATCAGTGTTTGCCAAAGTGCAGTCTTCAACCAGATGGCTTTAAAAGTCCTCTTTACCCCTGATTTGGTGGCAATGATTAATAAATAGGTTAACTGGTTATAAGCAGGGTTTTGCAAGTGCACACATTCAAATGTCCAAAAAAAGGTATCTTAGAATCTTTCAGGACTGGCCAGGTCATACTTCTGAGCAATAACTAATTTTGCACAATTCTAAGGAAGAGATAAGATGTTTCACTTCAATTTTTTTTAATATTTAACTTTTTCTCTTTTTTTAAAATTTTTTTAAAGATTTTATTTATTTTTAGAGAGGAAAGGGAGGGAGAAAGAGAGAAAGAGAAACATCAATGTGCGGTTGCTGGGGGTCATGGCCTGCAACCCAAGCATGTACCCTGACTGGGAATCGAACCTGCAACACTTTGGTTCGCAGCCCATGCTCAATCCACTGAGCTACGCCAGCCAGGTATATTTTTAATGGTGCTCTTACTGCAAGTTTGGCAGATAAATAAGCATATTCTGATGAATGAATGAATGAATGATGCATGAATATATGATTTCAAAATGCAATTATTTATGATGTCAGTATACTACAGTTAACAGTAGGATGAAACAAAATATGGCTACAAAGTAATATTTCCCAGTGATTTGTGTTATAAAATCTCCAAAGGTGGGGAGGGGGAAAGTCTTCCAAGGCTATAATTTGTAGGGTGCTTTATCAAGGTAGAGCTTTGCATTATTTTTCTAACCCTATAATTTCACCTCCCTACCACCTATCTGAGACATAAAAATTCCTTCAATGCTTAGAAAGTCCCCGTCCTTGCTTGCTCATATTTTTGCTCCGCTTCCCTACTTAGCTAATAAATTTGGGCTTGCAATCAGTTCAAAATCCCATATGATATCTTTCCTGGATAATTATGCTAATATTTGAACACAAAGACCTTCCTCAATTTGTAAAGCATTCTTAGGTTTCTCTCGAAGAGTAAATAAACCCACAACTAAGGGGGAAGCAGTTTCTTGCCTTTTCTTCAACTTTGAAACTCTCCTTTCCAAAGGGCTTACTGTTTTAGTTTGCTTAAAAGTTGTAACAATTTCATTTG